TCCGTGCCCAACAATTTTAAGTCTGACTACAACACCAGCCCGAAGCTCTTAGATATCCCTTTAAAAAGTAGACCTAGTGTTTTAAGATTTTAGATTTTTTTAATTTTTTTATATAAAAAAAAATTATCCTCAGAGTAGCGTGGGTTACCTAACTATAAAGACAGTTGCAAGTAAATATAAAGCTAGTGATGGAAGCTGGACAACAACAAAAATACATTGAAACCGAAACATTCAAGATAGAAAAACGAAGAAACAAACCATCTTTTCTTGCTGCAATGGAAGGCAGTTCCCAACCAATATTACCAGCATACTTGCTGAATTTGGTGGGCATGTCTATCTAAATATTTTACTCTAAATATTTTAATTTGGTGCAAATTAAAATAAGACTAGAATGAATGCTTGGAGGCCTTGTTGTTATGACTAATTATTAGCTGATATCTTAGTTCGTTAACTCGGTATGCAGCTGCGATTTGGCGAAGTTAACGAGTACATTAGCAACAACGTTTTTGAACATTCTGGGATTGATGAAAATCACATGCCTCAGCAAATCAGCATTTTTTTTAAAAACCCAACCCGCAGCTAACCGGGTTAACTAGCCCAACCCGCAATACCAAATCAGATATGGTATTATAACTATGATCATTATACCACTTTTCTTTTCATAAATCAGCCATTTTCTTCCATGTTGAGAGAGCCCCAGATACAAGGGAGCTGGTTATAATCGGGGTGGATGCCACAAAACCTTTCTTGGAACTAGGAGTAGTTTCAGGTATGGTATGTGAATCATTTCAATTAGAACAGTACTGTAAATATATTTTGCACAATGAGATGTTTTATAAAGCATAGCAACTTTCCTTGCCTTGTACTTCAAACTAGTTAACTTTTCAGCCGATGGAAAAAGATTAGTTCATAAAGTTGATCTCAAATTCAACAGGTGTTCCCTTTCTCATGACATGGGAGCTACGCGGAGGTAAATCTATTCAATATTGGTCTAAAACACTGCATGGGCATTATAATTCAAATTGAAAGCTGTAACGATCAAGATGAATTGTGTTTCCGGGCACAATGTGGTGATGGATTTTCCACTCATTCTAGACATGCACGGACTCCTTAAGGGTGGCCCGTGAGTACTCAAATATCTTGCTGTACTTTGTGTATTTTACATGACTTGAACAATGAGCTGGTAATTATGTCTGTCATGGACCATGACGTGAACAAATGCAGGTTGATAAAATATACATGGCAGAATATGCAAGAATTGGAATCATGCCTCGCTATGGCAACGCAGACTCAATCAAGTGGTTTCAGGTGGAATCAAATTGCGCATTTCACCTTCTTAATTGTTTTGAGGAAGGCACTGATGAGGTAAACTCATAGATTTCTTACGTAAGAGGAAAGATTCCTGACAGGAACTGAATTCTCTACGGATTTTCCAATGATCCAATGAGATTTTACTGGTGTTAAAAAATAAATATGGCTATACCCAAGCTACTGATTCAAATGCTAGCTCTGACTCCGGTGATTATAACTAAAACTCTTCTTTCTATAGAAGTTTACTATAACCCTGATCATTAATTTACTTAACATTTCAGGTGTGCCTAAATATGGAGATCTAGCAAAACTGTATTTTGAAGAGCCAGAAACAAATAAAATCAATTCGGTAGTTAATTAAGCTGTGTTATTAACCTTCTTTCCTAACACATCTAAATTTATGCTGACACTGTTTTGGTTCTGTGAATCAGCAAGGTGGCCAATCTGAAGAGCTGATAAAGGTGGAATACCATAAATCCCAACAGAATACTTTCTGCACTGGAGCTGCCTTAGTTCCCAAACAAGGCAGTCATGTAGAAGATGATGGATGGATAATCACTTTTGTCCACAATGAAGATACAAGCATGTATAAAGAAGGTCAATTTTGCACTTTGGTACATAATAATTATATGACTCTCATATCTAAAGTATTTGTCTACGTTCATAGGCTTATATAATTGACACCAAAAAGTTTACCAGTGAGCCAGTTGCCAAAATCACGTTGCCATGCTAAGTCCCACATGGATTTCATGGAGCTTTCATGCCAATCCTGTTGCAAAGTTTGACAGCATCAAATGTTTACATCACCACTTTCTGTTTAGCAGTCTCTTGGGTTATAAATTGTATAATCTGGATGACGTCCAGAATTTGTTTTTATTGATCGTTGTATATGATATACACTCAGCTTTAAACATTGAATTTAAGGCTTAAACTCAAGAACATAAAGAAGAAATCAAATTTTCTTAAACGTTGGATCAAAAATAATTTTATTTATACTTCAAATAATAAAACTCGAAAAAAAGAGTAACAAAGAAAAGTCGAAAGGCATTCTATTTTATTTTCATTTCGAGTCTCACCTTCATTATACTTTTAGCTATTTGAAATTGAGTCCTTCTATCAAGTTTATATTGATTTTAACAAAACCCTCCTTTTCTCTAATTTTCTTTTTCCTTCTCCTTTCTCCTCAACCGCCACACAACCCAACCTAACAATAAGTCGATTAAGCAATCAAGTGAAAAAGATGCACAAGGATTGGATTCAAATCCTTTATTAATTGTCATCACCACCACATAAGCCTCTAGATGATGATCGATTTATATTCACATCACTAACCTTAGAACCCTAACTGCTAAAACTACTCTAACATGAACAAAAAGACTCAAACCCTAAAAACTGAAGAAAAATTGAAGCTAAAAAACCCTAGATTAGCCACTAAACAAAATCACAAGATTAGCCACCGCCACCACTTCAAAAACATAATTTTCATGGAAAACAACTTAATTCCCAAAAACAAGAGTCAAAATCACCATAATTAAAGAACCCTAGGATTCAAGAATTGAAATCACACAAAATCATATCCAAGACACTTTCAAAAAAATAATAATAATAATAATAAAGAGAGAAATAGAGACAGAATTACCTCAGCTGCAATATATTCAAGAACTGCAGCGAGGTAGACAGGAGCGCCGGGACCAACACGCTCAACATACTTGCCTGCCTTCAAGAACCTAGTAATACGACCCACCGTAAACTGCAAACTAACGACATAGGGGCAGGAGTGAGAAGGAAGGGATAGAGGAGGGAGGATAAAATAAAGGAAAGGAGAAAAAACTAAAAGAGAACGGGGGATTTTAAAAAAATACTCATAGTCTTCAAGAGAATTAACTGAAACTTTTTTTTAGTAATCCTTTTTTTTTCTTTTTAAATTATAGAGTAAGATTTCTTTAAATAATTAACTAAAATGATTTTAAAAAAATTATCAAAATAATTCATAGTCTTCAAGACAATTAGAATTTTTTGTGATAATATTAAAAATTATTTTATAAATAATTATTCATTAACTTAATATGCAGAAATTTTAAATGATTTACTCATCAATAATTAATAAAAATAGAATATCTATTTTTTATTATAAATTATTACATATTTTTATTAAACCTAATTTCATTAAATTTATTTATATAGGTGTATAAAAATGAAAAATTCATAATTTATTTTATCTTTTATTGAAACTTCCTTTTATGATCATAATAATTTTTTTTATTTAAATTGCTTCTTAAAAAAGATATTTTTTCATTAAAAACACATAAAAAAATATTTTTTTTATTCAATTCAAGTAATTGGAATGTTTATATTTTTTTAATTATTTTTAATTATTTTTAATAAAATATACTTTAAATAAAAAAACATGTTATCATAAAAAAAAAAATGATTGAGAACTAAACCCTAAACCTATGGTTCTAACTAAAAAAAATTTCTAAGATTTTAATAATCTTTTTTCTTACAAATATACATTTTAATTCTTTTTATAATTAAATAAAAACTGATTTTGAAAAACTATTCCCGACAGCGCAGTCTTTATCCTTAAATTGGGAGGCTCGAAGTGACATAATGCGGATTTATCGTTTTGCGGGGGAGGTTAAGCGCTAATGAATGCCAAGAATATTCCATCTTATTGGTCAACTTGTTTTCATTACTCTAATTATTTATGCTTATTGGAAGTTTTAGTGATTATAAATCACAGCTTTATCCGTACAGAAATGACTTAATATTTTCATGAGTGAAATGATTTAGTATTTAGTAGAATTTTGGACGCATTTGTGGATGCCAGGGGCGGTTTCTTATCAGCCTTAAAGGTTGTTTGAAATATATTTTATTTGAAAATTTATTAAAATAATATATTTTTTAATTTTTTAAAATTTAAGAACGAGAAAAAAATTAAAAGGAAAATATATTTTTATTATGTATTTTTTCCTAAGCTCTTTTAACTTCTTTTTTTTATGTTTAATAATATTGAATTACAAGTTTTTTATAGTCATTAAAACCCAAATAATCAAGAAATTAAATTAATATATAAAAATTTTAATTTGAACAAGAATTATATTTTACTAATTGAATTAACCGACTAATTTATTTAATTTAACTAGAGGACTAATTCATCTGTCCTTTAAATAAAATAAAAAATCAAGTTTAATTTTTAACACTCTCTCTTAAACTTAATTTCTTGATAGTCCCAACATATTTCTTATTTTGATCAAAATAACATATGTGAGTGGTTTTTTAAAGATATTCACAACTTGATCATGTGTTTTCATATACTTGATTTCAATTTCTTTATTTATAATACAATCTCTCATGTAATTAAATCTTATGTTAATGTGCTTTATTTTTGTCATGAAAAACTAGATTTTTAATTAAGACAATGGCTAATAAGTTATTCATATAAATCTTCATAGGCTTTTCTTGTAGCATTTGCAATTCTTTTAATATTCTTTGTAACCCATATAGGCTTTTCTTGTAGCATTTGCAATTCTTTTAATATTCTTTGTAACCCATATGGAATAACAAACATGTGATGTAATTGATTATATATTCAGTTTCACTTGTTGACAAAGTGACTATGGATTACTTCTTTGAACTCTATGTAAATATTGTGTCTCCTATGTAAAAAACAAAAAACTCTTAGTGCTTTTTCTGTTATCCATATCTCCAGTCTAATCACTAACACTATAACCCGCAAGTTTAAAATCATTAGAATAACCATAGAACAAGCCAAAATCAATAATTCCTTTGATATACAGAAAAATTATCTTCAATGTTCTGAAATGTGTCATAGTTGATGTTTCTATAAATCTACTCACAAGTCCTCCTCCAAAATGAATATCAAATAAATGCATGTTAAATATCTCAAAATCTTAATTAAGTTCTTGAAAGTTGTAGGGTTTATCTTTTCTCTTTCATCATTATTTTGACATCTTTGCTCTATAATTAATTGGAATATTTATTCTTTCACAATCCTTCATCTTGAACTTCTTGAGAACTTTTTTTGCTTGCAAACTTCTATTGATTCATAAAGATTTTATCTTCTCCTTGTTTGATCTAAATCCCTAAGTAGTGAGATATGAGACCAGTATCTGTTATCTCAAACTCTTATATCATTGGTTGCTTAAAGTCTTCAAACATTTTTGAATTATTTCCTTTAAAGATCAAGCCATGCACATACAAACATACAATAAGAGTATTACCTTTCTTTTTTATCTTTAAATAAATAACATATTCATGAGGGTATTTAATAAATTCATTCTTTAAAAAATAGTCATCAATGCAACTATAACAAGCCCTTGGGGCTTGTTTCAATCCATATAAGGCTTTGTTCAACTTTAATACTTTGTTTTCATGTTCATTTGCTTCATATCCTATTAGTTGCTTAATGTATACCTCTTCTTCAATAAAACTATTAAAAAAGGCTGATTTGACATTTATTTGATAAATGCTTCATCATAGTTAGTCACATGCTTTTGATTATATCCTTTTTACAATAAACTTGCCTTACACCTTTATATTTCTTTTTTAACATTCTTTTTTTATTTGTAGATTCACTTGACACCTATTGGCTTCTTTTTTCTTGGTTTAGGAACAAATTTTCATGTGTCATTCTTCTAAAATGATGCAATCTCCTCATCTGTAGCAATTCTATAATTTGAATTCTTTATTGCTTCTTCAAACATAATAGGATCATATATAGTAAGATGACAATATAATGTTACATTTTCATAAATAGAATTAGTTACCTCATATAAGTCAACAAGGCTCTTCATCTTTTTTAATGGATTTGGTGAAGTACCACTACTTGAGCTTTTACTAGAAGAAGAAAATAAATGTAAAGATGACACCATTAGTGATTATGAAGGTGTAGCTTGTTCTTGATGATATTTATAGCACTCCTTCTCTTTATCAAGAATCGATAGAAAATTATATTTCTTACCATCATCTCCCTTCCAATCCTTTGCTTCTTCTTCATTGAACTCAACATCTCCGTTAATCACTATTTTTTCTTTATTGGTGTTATAGAGCTTATATCATTTGAACTTTTGGTTATAACCTATAAAGATCTTTTTTGCTGTTATCATTTAGTTTGATCCTTACTTGATCATCTAAATGCACAGTCATTGCTCCTAAAAACTTTCAAGTGAAAAACATTTGGCTTTCTTCCACTCCATAATTCTTGTGAAGTCATGTCATTTAATCCTTTAGCAGGACACCTATTTGACAAGTAGATAACATAATTTATAGCTTTGGCCTAAAACTCTTTAGAAATCTTCTTATTTTTTAGTATGCTTCTATTCATTCTATCTATTACACCATTTTGTTTTAAGAATTTAAGCATTGTTAGGAGTCTTTTTATACTATGATCTTCACAAAAATTATTAAAATCATTAAAACAAAATTCACCCCCTATCAATCCAAAGTGATTTTATAATAACCAAATTCTTTTTCAATTAATGCCTTAAACTTCTTAAAACAACCAATCATATTAGAATTTTCTTTTAAGAAGTATACCCAAGATTTTTACCAAACAAACATGGTTTCATATGACCACAAACATTACCATCTATTTTTTGTTGAGGTTGACTTGCTTTTGATGTGAACTCATTTGGAAAGCTCTTGCAAAATTACTTTTCCATTAAATATCATTCACATTACTAATTTGGATGTATAATAGATGGTAAACCCTTCAACATCTTTTTTTTTTTATCATCTTTAAGCTATCAAAATTTACATGCCTAGATCTTATATGTCAAAACGAAGTCTCATATTTCACACATGCATTTAGGTATTTAGACATACTATTCTCTATGTTTAGCAAAAATATTTTATTCTTTGTCATGACTACCTTTGCAATCATTGCTCATTTAATATCAAGTAATGTCAAAATACAATCTTTCATCTTAATCTTATACCCCTTCTCTAACAATTGTTCTAAGCTCAATATGTTGTTTTTCACTGTTAATATATGTAATAGACATCTCTAATAAATTGATGACTTCTATATTTTAATTTAATCAAAATTATAGTTTTTCAATTGATCACAACTTTTGAATGATCTGCAAATATGACATGACCTCTAATTGCTTCATCAAGCTCCATAAACTTGTCTCCACACATGTAATTGTTTGCTCCATCAGTTGCTACTTGTTGAAGAATGTCTCAATGCACTAGAAGGAGTTGTTAGCCTTAGAACTTATAATTAAACTAAGAACCAACAAATTACAGTGCTTCCACATAGGGGCTCTAAGATGTCCAATAAATACATATGCAATAAAAGAACAAAATAAGAAGAGAAAGGAAAAGGAATTCAGTAACATGAACAAGAGAAATTGGAAATTATATTAGATGAACAAGAGTGGTTTTAGTCTCTTAATCTCCCATCCACCCTTCTATTATTCTACTATGTAAAAAAGTGAGGGACTATTCAAACCTAAGACATTGAAGTGGAAAGTTTGGATTGATCATGTCAAATAATCAAACCTAAGCTTTGATACCCCTTATTAAAAAAAAGGATGAGTGTGGTAAAAAATCAAAAATACTAATGCAAGGTCAAAAACTCAAGAAGAAGAAGAGGATTGAGAGGAAAGAATACTTTTATTAAATGTTTCTCTATAAGCTTTCTTAGTTATTCTCTCTTTTTTTTGTGCTCCTTAATAATATTGAATTACAAGTCTTTTTATAGGCATTACGTCCTAGACAATTAAGGAATTAAACTAATACTAGGAGATTCTAATCTTAACAAAAATTGTATTCTGCTAACTAAACCAGTCAATCGTTTCTCAACTAGCCGACCAATTTATTTAATCCAACCAGTGGACCGGTTCCTCTATTATCTAGAAAAGTTAAAAATCAAGTTTAATTTTAACAATATTAACACTATATTTATATTTCATAGTGGCTAGTGGCTACAACCTTTCTTAAAAATGCATTGCTTAAAAAGATCCCTCATATTTTTCTAAAGTTGGTTATTAGAATCTGTTGTTGAGTGGCTAATTAATTAATATAGGTCTAAATACTCTCTTTGGAATATTAAAATCAACAATTTCAATTTCTGGAAGATCTAGTCATGTTTGGAGAAAGAATCTAATTAAACAAGGATTCTAATCAACTAGTATAGCACAATTTTGTTTTTATCATAAATTTTTACATTAGCTATGATTTTATCTAACATTCTCTCCTTTAAATTGATATTCTTAAAGACTTAGTTTAACAATGAATGATTCTTCTTTAACCTTATCTTAAACTTCCATTTTTCACCAATAGTTTTCAGTCCTTTATAAACTTCATTAATTCTCGAGTATTGCTTTTTCTAATGACATCAATTTCATCATTTAAAGCCTTTTTTCACTTTATTTCATTAATAATATCTTTGGAAATCATAAGATCATAATATGAAAATAGAGTAAAATAAGGAAGTGGATCATTAGATTGTTTGATTCTAGTTACCTTATAAACATTTATCCATGTATGCTCTTTTCTAATATGTTGTGATTGTCGATCAATATTTGTTGATATTTCAAGTGTGCTTTGATCATCCACTAGTTAGGGTGCATTTTTTATAGGCTTCTCTTTTGCTCATGATTAAAGATTAAGCAAAAGATTGGATTTTTGAAGGAAGAAAGGCAGTAACTATTTTAAGTTTTGGGAAGGTATAATCCATTACTAACTTAATAGGTGATGTCGATAAGGCACACATCTAGCTTGTTTTACATGTTTGATGATACTTTTGAACTTGCTTTAGTGTTATGATGTTATGTAGTTTTGATTTTTATTAATACATAAAAATATTGTTTTTATTATTTAAATCTTGCTTTGAGTTATTTGTTAATGTTCTTGAATATTTGGGTGATGTTTATTAGATAAGTTTTGATGAAATTAAGTGGTTTTAAAATCTATCAAATGTGGTAGTAAGGTTTATGATGTTTTCTGTGTTGGCTGATGCATGTCTTTAATTTTTAGGTTTTGTTTGGTTCAGATAACCAATTTAAATTCAAATTGCATAAATATATAGGTTGTTTGGCTTTCATAGTTTTGAAGTTTTGAACCTCTTGTATGATTTTGATGATTTGATGTTATTTGTTAATTTTTTTTATTCAAATATATTTATTTATGGTAATGTGACTTGTTAGAAAGATGGAAGCATGTTAGAGAAGTAAAAAATACTAGTTTTGAAGGCATGATAGTATGCTAGGTTTTTGAGTTATTTTTAAGTTAGTAGATAGTGTTTTTTATTTTATTTGCAAGAGCATTGCCTTACCTCCCTTTATGATTTGAACTAGTTTTGGTCCATTTCTTCGTATCTTTACCTTCATATGATATCGTTAAATAATGATTTAGGATTTTAGTTTTAAATTAAAATCTATTTTAATTAAATCGTGATTATTGATTAATAATTGTTGATGTTTAATACTTAATTATTATTTAGTGATTGATTTCCATCTTTTTTATGCCTTTATTTCATGAAATATGGTCTATATTAGAATTCCCGCTGCTGGAATTTGTGAATCCAAGACTAACCTAAAATTTAATACGGTCAATCCGAAACAAATATATTAGAACCGTTTCATTATTGTTCATTATTTTTTGTGTATCAGCTACAACGTGATCATTGATCATCCTCTGATAGTTGACATAACAAGAGTCATCAAGGGTGGACAGTAAGTAAAGATTGCTCGATTGGATTTCTTTAAAGCAATGCCAATTACACAATCACTTGCTTATAGAAAGAGGTATCCATGTTCACATGCAGATTGATGAAGTATGAGGAGAAAGCGACTGCCAGGATTGGAGTGATGCCTCGTTACGGGAGTGCAGAGTCAGTCAAGTGGTTTGAAGTAGAACCAAACTGCACATTTCATATTGTTAATTGTTTTGAGGACAGTAATGAGGTGAGAAAATTAAGTAATTGGTAACAAGTATAACAAAGAAAGAATCTTGCCTTCAATTTTTGAAGTCCTGTTAATGTTGATCAGCAGAAAGCTCTTACAGTCTCTAGTTTTTGGTTGATATTAATTGGTTTAGTTACTTCTGATTGTTAATAAATTTATTGCTGAATGTTCATTCCTGAATTAAATCTTTCACCGATCATGGTCAGGTTGTTGTGCGGGGATGTAAGGCTGTTACAGCCATCATACCGGGTCCAGATTGGGGTCAGGACAAGTTTGAGTGGTTCTCGAAAGGATTTAAGTCAGATGATGCTGATGGTTTAACAGAAAGTGGGTATCTCTTGCACCGCGTACATGAATGGAGACTAAACGTGGCAACTGGGGAGGTTAAGGAGAAATATCTAACAGGTGCTGACTGCTCCATGGATTTTCCTTTCATCAATGAAGATGTCACTGGTTTAAAACACAAGTATGGGTACACACAAGTCATCGATTCCTTGGCAAGCTCTATTTCTGGTAACAAAAAATCCATCCTCGATGCTTACATTTCTTTTACATTTTACAAAATTGAGATTGAATTTTTTCCATGCGTCAGGAATCTGTAAATATGGATCCGTAGCCAAATTACACTTTAATGAAGAAATGTCAGCCTACTCAAAGGTAAATTCATTTATGCATATCCCTTTTGTTTCCATCACTCTATGCTATTCAATTTGGATTTCCAAGCATGGAAATGCATACATGGTTGCTGCTTGAATTTACATGGCAGGAGGGAAGCAATGAACAACCGGTAAAGGCAGAGTATCATAAGTTTCCAGAGAACACATTCTGCACAGGAAGCACCTTTGTGCCTAAACAGGGAGGCGTTGAAGAAGATGATGGTTTGATTATTACTTTTGTACACAATGAAGAACGTAATGTGTCTCAAGTAAGTCGACGACTTTTCTCCAACACCAGTGGTTTAAGTTGGGTTTACATTTCTTGACACAAGTTCTCAAATTCTCTTTAATGCCTTTTTTCCTTGTAGGTTTATATAATAGATGCAAAGAAGTTTGAAAGTGATTCAATTGCCATATTAACTCTGCCCCAGAGAGTGCCTTATGGTCATCATGGAGTCTTTGTTTCCATGCCAAATCAAGCTTAGCATGCCTTCTTTTTTGTACCGAATATGACTTTGGTCTTTGCATGTAAAATGATCTCTAGATTTCTTTTTTTTTTTCCCCTTCATCTTTTCTATTTGTTTTTGGGTTGAAAAAGTTGCACAAAGTGAGTTTTACGTGTAACTTCCAAGTTTAATCGTTTGATGATGTGTTTCAGTTTCAAGAAATTGGAGACTACTACAGTTCAGAACACTATTTTCTTCGTTTTCTTTTATTGTTGTTAACTCTTAGAATGTATAATATACGAGGGAAAACAAAGAATAATCATATATAAATATTTGTGCCGAAAAGACAAAAAATTAATCTCATTGGTATACTGTTGGTCAAATGCACGAATTGATATAATTATTGCTACCTCTAAGGTCTAATCTATAGCTTGGCAAAAAACGGAAGAAAATGACGCGCCAATTCTGCTCAGTTGAACTTCTAGCAGTGGAGTGAATGCGAGAGAGCCTGATCAGCTGAAGTTCCAAATAAAATTAAACAGAAGAGATTAGATAAATGAGATTCTAATTTATAACGTATGCTACATAAACCATACGTTATATTGCATCAAGGCTTCAAGGAAAGAATCATAAAAATTACACATGCTGGAGCCTCAAGAAAACATGAAACTGCATGGTTATAAACCAATGGAAGCAGAAGTGATACACGATACCAGAATGCCAAGTAGAGCCTCAAAGGCACATCCCATCAAACATTTGAGAGTGGAAAAAAATGCTGAAAGGCACGCTCGTCATAATGCGCCAAGACATACAGCCAAATAAACTACACAGACAACCTACGACAAGCCAGGGAACGTGCACAGATTTAGCTGCAATAGCACAGAAAAACGATATGAGAATTCCCGAGATCATATCGATCGTAATAGCTTAAATTTATTTAAATGCATTACAGAGAAGTTATGTCCATGTCTATTACTATGAAATAAACGAAAATAAATAAATGGCCTCAGATTGTTGTTGTTGATGGAGCCATGAATACAGGACCCTCCAATATTTAAGTTAATAGATATAAGATGAGAAAATAATATACAAGAAAACTTATAAATAATGTGAGAAAAAGTGCAGAGAGAGGGGAGCAAGGGCAACACGCAATGTGAGCAAACAAGTGATTCTTGAATTGTTGAATCTCAATGCCTCGAATGTTTTACTTGGTGATCATAAATATTTATAGACATTAATCATATCAGGTTACCTTGTAAAGCATGGAAAATAGTGTTGCGTATGCCTCGTGTTATGTGGATATGCAGGTGTCTCATGGTATGTGGAGTTGAAGGTGCCTTGTGGTGATTAAAGAAATGATGGATTGCGACCTCAAAGTGAAAAAAAAAAAAAAATTTGAGTTTTTTGTATCTACGTGCCTATGTATAAATTTAAAAATATTCATATTTTAAATATTTAAATAATTTGAAAAAGCTTAATGATTTGTAATAAATTAATGGTCGGTCAGCAAGGTCCATCAAATGATTTCTTATTATTCATTATTTTTACGCTCTTAATTTGCTAACTACCCTTGATTTTAATATATAAAAGACTCAACTAGCACGATTTATATATTGTTAATTTATTTTGTAAGACAATTTATTTGGTGGTATAGATCCTACATGAACATATATATATATATATATAGGAATTTTATGGAAGATTTGTTTTTTTTAATAACTCTACATTTGTATGCATCGTTAATATTGAGACTTGATGGAAGTTAGTTATTGAATTACTGGGAAAATTGTAAAGAAACATGGTCAATTCAATAAAAGTTCTTTAAAAACACCGAATGGTTCAATCATTTTAACAAAATAAATTAATTAAATGCAAAGAAGGATGAAATTGAAAAAAACTTTAATAAGTATTAAAATAAAATAAAATAAAAACCAAATTCAAAATAAAAATAACAAAAATCATTTCTGAAATAAAACTAGACCAAATTGGTATAACAAAAAAAAATCATTTTAATCATAGATTTTGTTATTTCCTCGAGTTTTTACATTTTTATAATATCTTCCAAGTTAACTTATTCACGAATATAAATCCTATATCAATATGAAAAGTTACCAAATAATAAATGAAATATATGGCATAATATTGTTACATAATTAGTGATGGATATTAATTACGAGCAAACTTCTGTCATTTTTATTTATTTATTTCCTATAGCTTTCCTCCCAGTTTGGACATAAAACATGCGTATTAAAGAAGAAAGTTAAAGATTTATTTTCCCTCATTTCCTTTCTATTCCTAATTTCAGCATCCAAATAAAGAAAAACGACTTAATTTCCTTCCCATTACTTTTCTTTCCTTTACTTTCCTTCAATATATACACACTGTTACTTTTTATTGCGTGTAAATTATAATTGGATATGATATATAGTCGTAGAAAAAAAATATTAACAAAACGTAAACCTCAAATTGTTGCTCGATCATTTTGGCTCTTTAAGGCGAGAAACAAATGTGTGTAGGCATAATTTTTATCACCTAAAATTAAATAAATACATATGTACAAAATATTTAATTTATTAAGATATATAACAGCATGTAATCTCTATTTAGAATATTTTTATAAAAAAAATAAATAATCCTCTTATTCTTCTCTTGAATTTGGTATATGGTGACTTCATTTATTTATAAAATTAAATTAATATTAATTTATGCTTTGTAAAAACATGAATTTAGACATGTATTGCAAAGCAAGATTTAGTTATTTGATACTTTAAAAAATATTTTTAATTTATCTATAAAGTTTTATTGAATAACTCTTATAAGACATTTAAACTTAATTCAACAAAACTTTGTTCTTTGGTGATTTCAAATGTAGATAAAGGACATATGAGAGCTTCTAAGAGAGCTTCATTAATGATTTTTTGACACTTATTTTACCATGAAATCACCATCAATTTTGGCATTATTGTAAGTCTCCACAAAGTGAGCCACATGTTGCCTTGGATTCCTTTTGTCATCGAATTGTTGAAATTTTAGTGATTAATAGTTTAGAGGCATTCTTAGCGGGTCAATTTTTTAGGTGTATGGCTTCGTATAAGAATACGAAGGTTGAATTGTACTTTCTATTTGGTCCATGATGGATTTTTTGATAAGTTTTTTCAGTTGATTCGTATTAAAGATGTCATCTATAATATCGTGGATATTCCTTGTAGCCCTGATTATAGAATCCTCAGGAACATTTAGTTAATCTACTTGTATAACCTTGATAGCTGAACTTTGGCCTCTCTCGTTACTGCTATCGAGTTTGTTCATCAACTTTGTTATCTCATGGTCCTTTTCCTAGAGTGAAGTTGAAAGCCTGTTAATGAGTTTTATCAAATTAGCCACTTGATCCAAAGATGTAGCCCCGATCATCATCACTAACTTGGTTCCAAAATCTGAAACCTTATTCGGTGATTGACATGTAAAAGTCTCCACAGGTGAATTGCCAATGCAGTCTTTGTAAGTGTCAAAGAAAAAGTCCACACGCTCCACTTGATTGTTATGGTGGAGTTGTAGTTTTGGCCTTGAAGTAACGAGATCTCGTGCCCCATTTGCATTCAAAATGAATGATTAATTAAATTAATTTTTATGGAAAATTTGAAATAAATATGTATCGAGGATGAGAAAATAGTTGCAATAAGTTATAATGAAAAGAAAATTTAAGAAAGAATTGTACTGTAAGCACCGGTTAAAAATTAGAAACATTATTGGGAAACGATAATAAGTCTATAAAGGAAATAAATAGTAAAAATATAGAATAAATATATTTGAGATAAGAAAATAGTATCGAGATTTGAGTAAATAATTGATATCATTTATGCAAGAATGAAATAGGAAAAATTGAATTTTTGATAAAATATCACAAATTAGTTATTGTTACGCTATAGCACGTAACTTTCAATCTAGCTATTAGATTAAGATGAAATTTTATATGGAGTCTTCTAAAATATATATTTTTTAAAATTTAAGTTAAAGTTTTAGAATTTTTTGAGTTTGATAAGAATTTTTCAAGTTAAGTATAGTAAACAGATAATAAAATAGCACAAATAAGTGTCTAAATTTTTTTTCAAGGATCAAATTAAAAATTGGTCCAAGACAACCTTTTTTATAAGCTACCAGGAATAAAAAGAAGACGAAGAAGAGTTTGTAGATGACCAAGAGAAGAAAATAGAGAAAATAGGGAAAAATTGCTTGAAAAATCACAAATAAGAAAAAGTGTAATAGGAGAATTTTGAGTAATTAAAGAGACAATTTTAGGTGTTATGGATTCCACAAGTAGTTTAAGAGTTATAGTGTACTTTTAGAGAATGAAAATTGAGCTTAGAGGAGGAAAATATGAAGGAGAATAGATTCAACTTATTTTGACTTTTGATTCTTCATTCTTTAAGGCTGAGAAATTTTTCTATAATGTTTCATTATATAGCTTTATATGTTTGTTTTTGGATAGAGTAGATTTAGTATTATGTAAAGGTGGGTTCTTGATATTGTGGTGATTTGAATATATAGATTTATATTGATTATGTTTTTGTTGAGGGGATAAATGTTTGGGCTACTCATTAATTAAGTTAATTAGTAAAAAATAAATTTTATTCCTCTTAGTAATGCGTATTTTAGATAAGGGTGGGATTTTTAGGGTGATTGAGTTGTTGAATTAATGACAAGCAAATTGTTTAGCTATGCTAATTGATTAATTGATTATTGAAAAATATATAATTATTAAGAGAATAAAAAAAAAAAGTGAATGAATAAATTCCATGAGTGGAATATGGATTGTGTTTTGAATTGTGCAAGGAAAAGAATGAAATTGAGCTAAATAAAACTAAGAATTTTATTTGTTGATATAATATAGGAATGTAAGGTCATGTAAATTGATTATTAAAGAACATGAAACTATGTTAGGTATAAGGAATGAATAAATTGATCAATGGATATCTTTCTATTTGATAGGCATGTTTAAAAAAATTAAATAAACTAATTTTGACAGATGTTAAAAACAATTTTTGATGGAAAATTGTACTATATGATGACTTTTAAGTAAATCATTGAATAAGGAGGTATTGTGATTCTTAAATAATCAATTCAACCTAAAAATTTGAGTTGTTAAGTGAGGCTATAAGATATGATTTATATTATTTTCTAACACATTCTAGTGAAAGTTTTTTGGACTTGAAATTTGCACATACTCATACTA